CTTTTCAAGGAATTCACTGGAGAAAATTGTAGGCAAGGCTGTGAACAGAACCATTCTCCATCTGGTTTCAGTTTATTTAAAAAAAAAAAAAAAAAAAACTGTGCACACATGCCTCCCCACCGCAATCAGAAAACAGCCACAACTCCCCCAGGGGAGGGGGTATTAGCCACCAGGGGTGGGGCTGAATTATGTATATGCAAATAAATTAAACTAGCCGGCCAACAGCAACTAATTTTCATATCTTTTGCATTTGTTCTGCCAAGAAAATGCCTGAATCCAGGGATAATGGAAGCTGCAGGAAGCAAGTTTTGGAATTAATATTTAATAATCACGTTGCCTTAATTCTGCCTTTGGGAGACATGTTTCTCATCCAGAAGCAAAAAGAACAAAAAAGATTAATAGGCTTTCACCTGGGTATGGCCTAACAAACAATGTCAACCCCCTAGACTAAAGTCCAGGGGAAGGTGCAGCTTGAGAATTGGAACCAGAGGGTCTGGGTGGCTGTGTGACCTAGGGTAGGTCATTTCACTTCCTATACCCAGGAAATACAAGACCTCCTTTGCAAGGAACAATGTAAAGTTGGGAGATAAAATTAAAGTACAAGGAAGTTGAGCACAAGGCTTGGTTTGCAGCAAGCACACATGAACTGGGACAGAGGGACTATTCATCTCAAAGCACCCTGGAGTGCCCAGAGGGATCCAAGCTGGATCTCAGATCTCACCCAGGCCAGCCAAGCTTTCTCCCTGGGGTCTCTCTTTTTCCCCTGGGGCAAATCCAGAAAACCCTGTGGAGCACATTCCCTAACATCTGCCTTCAATCTTGGAAACAATAAAGGAACCTCAGAGGAGGATGCCAGACCCTCAAAGATGGATGCTGCCCGGCTTCCTGGGTCTAGTATATCCTTTCTCCAGTAACTCATGGACCCTCTTGCCAGGCGCAGAGTCCAGATGGGGATATAGCTGAGCTCACCTAAAGCCCCGAGGGCCCAGTCAGCCTCCTCCAGCATGTTCAGGCCATAGCAGGGATGGGCTGCAAATCCTGGGCCCAGCCCTCACATGTCCACCAACACCTCCTTGGGTTCTGTTGCCTTAAACCTACTCCTTCCGCCCCAATCTCCCGCCTCCCCTTCTTCCTGCTTCCCGGCCAATAAGAACCATGCTCTCAGACTCATTCAAGACCAGTCCCTGCTTTCCTGAGCCCTCACCCTGCAATCCAAGAGGTCACGTGTGGTAGATGTGTTCCTGTTTAGACACAGTCCTCAAAAGCCCAGGCTTGGGCTCCTCCTGTTACCCATGAATTTTGACTTGCTGGGGCTGGCTAAAGATTTCAGCTCAAGTGTACTTGAGTTGGAGACCTTGAGAGATTTTTCTCAGCCTCTGGAAACCTCGATTCCTACTAATGTAAACTGGTGATAGTGAGACCTTATACAAAAGCCTATTGTGAGGCCTCTGCACCCGACCCAGGGCTGGGGCCCAAGCAGCAGGGTTGGAGGCCCACGCAAGGAATGAAGGCTGCGATGTGGCGGTGTGGAGTAGATGGCCTCCTGCACCATGGAAGGTGAGACCAGTTCTGGGTCGTACAAGTGATCTATGTGGGCCAAAGGGAAGTGAGACCATCAGGAGTGAGACCCAGGCTGGAGCTCAGACAAGGACGTGGCCAGCATATAAGAGGAGATATACACTCATGACTGGGGAGGGGCATGTGAGAGGTCTCCCCAGCTATAGGTTTTCCTACATGGAAGAGTAGCCCATGAAGGATGCTGGGAAGAGGCATGGAGGGATGAAGCACCCAACAGCCATGGCAGACAGGGTTTGGAGTGATCAAGAGTAGTCAGCAGAGCAGAGACCCAAGGAGCTGTAGGCCAAGGTGGGGCTTGAGGACCAGGAGGTCTAGGACTGCCTACATATGGAGAGGTCAGGGCAGGGAGCTGACCCCAGGCTGGCGTAGAGATGGAGATAGTGGAGATGGTGTCAGAGGACTGTGATTACGATTGTGGATGACATCAGAGGGCTGTGGCTATGAGCGGGGGTGGGGGAGAGCCAAGGACGATATTGAAGAAGGCCTGTAGAATCAAGGTGACCAGTGCAGGCAGCCACAGGGCACAGGGTCTGGCACACTGTAAGAAGTCAACCAGAGCTTCCCGGAGACTGAGTTTAGAATCTGAGTGGATGGACTGGCACCAACTGGAAGAAGGCCCTGCTGATACTAGGGTTGGGGAGGGAACAGAGGGTGTCTTGGCATGAGCAAAAGGCAGGGCAGGACCTCCTGGGGGCTAGGCCGCCCTGGAACTGGCCCTCAAAGGAAGAGGTGGTGAGTGCTTTCTTAGCTCCAGACACCCCAGGATAGTCAGAGGAGATGGCGTGAAGGCTCTTGGCACCTCCTCTTTCAGGGACTTGAGTTACCCCACTCTCAAACCCACCTGTCACCTGGCATTTAGCTCTTTACCACCGCGCTCTCTCCCAACAGCCAGCAGATGGAGCCAATGAGCTGCCCGACTGCACTGCAGCAGCCCCCTCCCTGAAGTCCTCCAAAGCTCCGGACCTTGTGTCCCACGGAGGCAGACAGAGAGGTGGGACAAAGGACACCTGTCTCTGAGCTTAAGGGCAGGGTGGCAGCGGGGCTCGGTTCCTTCTGATTGCCCTTCGATTCGCTGGGCTGCCAGGTCCTGCCTTATCTAGTGGGGCTCCTGCCCTCTGCCTCCCTTCCCTTCTTTTCCCTGGAGGCCCCTGCCAGCCCAGACTCCCGTTTCTGGCAGAGGCTGGTTCTCTGCCCCCAGGCAGGCATGATCTGGCAGCAAGCCTCAGACAGGGCTGGGCCAGCCCCTCCCAGGCTTGACTGCCTAAACCACCTTGTTCTTCTCCCAATGTCTCCACCTTAGCAGGGTAAGGGGTCAGTGGCTAAGGAGGCCACAGTGCCCTGGAGATCCAAGTCCCAGAACACAAATGAATGGTTCTGCCCAAGGTGGCAGTGTCCCAAAACCTGGGCTAAAAAACAAAAACAAAAACCTTCCCCGTCTTAGCCATCCCACACCCCACAGCCAGAGTTAAGTCCTGCCACCTACCTCAGGCAAGTCTTCATACTGGAAGCTTCCAGAGGATAAGTCAAGATCCTGTACAGTAGAAGATTGTTTTCAGTCTTGATCCTCAGTGTTGCATACCCTTCCTATCCCTCTGACCTTCAACTCCAGTTCTGGCAATTGCTGGCACCTGTGCGGCCTCGACTTTCAAAGCACCCCCAGCTTCTAATGGACCAAGATGGAAAAACTACAGTCAGACTTCTGGTAGGGTGAAGAGAGCCGAGGAAAGAAGTACCCAACCAATCTAGGGTCCATGGCTCAAATTAGCAAGCCAGGCCACAGTGCGATGTCCATAGCTGAATTGGTGCGTTTGGAAAATAAATGTGATCCTGAAATTCTCAGAGGCGGGGTGACCCAGACCAAGAGGGAGTTACCAAGAACACACACCAATGTGCTCACTTGTACATGCAGAGTTATGGTGTAAGGAGGAACATAGTCAAATGGTAATGACAGGTCATGTGGCCAAACGGGCTCTGGTGCATACAAACCCAGGCTCCCAAGGTCATGTCTCCAAGGTCAGGCACACACACCCTTCCCAGGCCACTCCTGCCTCACTAAGCCAGGCTGAGAAGGACACCTGTACTTATAGGAGGAGGAGCAGGTGCAGGTACAGGAGTGGCTCCGGGTGGAGAGCCCTTTTCCCTTTAGTGGGTATGGCTTCTAGCTCCTGTGCTGGGTGGCAGAGGGGAGTCGGCCACTGGCTTTGGAAGCACCACTGCCATGAAGTCCTGGCATGGGTCCTGAGCAAGAAGAGAAGGAGCAGCAGGCTAGGAGGTATGACAAAGGTGCCCTCTCTTAGGACACCGCAAGGGCAGACCTTGAGGCAAGCCCCCCAAAAGCAGAAGGCCCTTCCCCCCATGTTGTGGCTGCACCTACTCCCCTCAACATAGGGCCTGGCATCCAGGGACTGGCAGCAACTCCCAGAGCTTGGCAGAACCCTGGCATAGATGCCAGGCACGGGGTGCCAAACACGGGGGTGGACATGGTGGGGGGGTTGCTGGGCCACACACAAACAAGGACCTTCACACACACAGGCAGGGCAATGTGTCTACGCCCACACTCTCTATTTCATTCCTTAGGGATTCAGCAGGGCAGGGACCACCCTGTCCTAGAGATTGCCTTCACAGCCACCCCAGGTATCCTCATCAGCCTGTCTCTTGGGGCTTAGAAGTAGGCTTCCCCTGTTCCTCTCACCCATAATTATGGAGGTGGACTTGTGCATCCACAAGGACTGGGTACTGGAGGGACTGCAAAAGCCCAGGTATCAGCTCCCAGCAAGCCAGGCCATTACCCTGCTCCTACAGTCTGGGTCCCAGGTGGGCTTGGAGGGTGTGAGCTACAGAGGTGTGGGCCAGGTGCTGTGGCATGTACACCAGGGAACCAGCGGCCAGGCCAAAATGGGTTGGTTCCTGGCAAGATGGCATCTGCAAAGAAGGTGGTGCATGGCGTCAGGTGTGTCTCCTGCGAGCAGCAACAGTGCAGCCCTGGGTACGCGGTGGGGGTGCAGGAGTGACTGCAGGTAGCCCCAGCGGGGATCACCCACCAACCTCTTTCCCTAAGTGGCCGGCGGTGAAGCGGCTCCCCCTGAAACAGCAACTTTGGGACTTTGTTCCGGCTTCTTCGAAAGCGGATCTGGTCGAGGGGCGGGGTAGGAGGGGAAAGGGTGAGGGGGGTGTGGGCACCTGCCTGGCGGTGGGGGGGGTGCCGGGAAAAGAAGTTAAGGGAAGCCCTGCCCCCGGTCCCGCCTCCGCCCCGCCCTCACGCCCCCTCCGCCCCTGGGGCTCTTTATAAGTCCGGCCGGAGGGCGAGCAGAGAAAGCGAGTATCCCACCCACCCCCAGGCTGGTGTTCCTCTGCAACCCTGCGCCGCTTGCCCCGGCCAGAGTCCCTCGCCTTGCTCCCTAGCCCGGTCCAGCCCGGTCACTATGGAGCTCTGGCTTTGGCCGTCGGGCGGCGCCTGGCTGCTCGTGGCTGCCCGCGCGGTGCTCCAGCTGCTGCGCTCAGACCTGCGTCTGGGCCGCCCGCTACTGGCTGTGTTGGCACTGCTGGCCGTGCTCGACTGGCTGTGCCAGCGCCTGCTACCCCCGCCAGCCGCACTCGCCGTGCTGGCCGCCACCGGCTGGATCGCATTGTCCCGCTTGGCGCGCCCGCCACGCCTGCCCGTGGCCACTCGCGCGGTGCTCATCACCGGTGAGTGCGCGGGGACTCCAGACTCCAGGGTGGGACTCGATTTCCCGAGGGAATCCCATAGCCACTGCCAAGGCGGCTTCCCCAGCATACCAGTGAGACTCCCCCCCACCCCCCCACCCCCCACCCCGTGCAAGAGAGAGAGCCAAGTGGGAATGGCTGGGCACCTCCCCAAGTCTGGGTTCACTACCTGCCGCTGCTGCCGAGAGAGTGTTGGAGGAAAGCAGGTGCACAGAGCAAATAGGTGGCTGAAAAAGGGTAGGGTGGGTGGGGGGAGGTTCCTGGAATTTAGGGGCTCACGCTGTGTGTACACCTCTGTAAGCAGCAGGCTTAAAGCATAGAACTGGGGCTCTGAAGGACTTGAGAGGGTTTGGGATGAGGAAGATGTCACTCCAACAGCCCCACGTGGGACACTATGCCCTGAGACCAGAGGTGGGACCTTGGATGGGGGACCACCCCCTCTCACTTGGCTGGGATCCCTTAAGAAAGCTGGAGGTCTTCAATAGGGAAGTTGGGCATCAGACTGTCCCTCAGGTCCAGCCAACACTCCCATGCCCGTCCCCTGGTCCCCTTACCCCCATAGCACAGAGCAAGCAGAGCTGAGAGTTGGCATCCAGCCCCCCTCCTCCATCCCTCCCTGACTACAGTGCCTAGGAAAGAAGTCCTGGAGGGCTGGGCTCAGGTTCCCTCACCCCTGGCTGAGCTGCCTTTGTCTGAAGCAGGGAATAAATCTGTCACCAAAAGAGTGGAAGGGGAAGGAGGACTAAGGCTTAGCCTGAAGCGGGGAGGGGGAGAAAGGCCAGGAGGCACTGGCTGCATTGCATGGGGGGATGCAAATGGTAGTCTAGCCTCTCTCCCAACCCCCATGGCTCTGGACAGGTGCTCTGAGCTTTGCCACCATCATTGTTTGGGGGTTGGGGACAGTGGGCAAACTGGCTTCTCAGAGCCCTGGGTCCAGTAGGGGGCCCTGCATGATCCTGAGGGACTGAGAATTTCCTTGAGCCCAGACTCAGCAAGAGTGGAAAGAGGAAGGATGTTTAAGGCACAAAGGATCAGAGAAGGGATAGCAAGCAGGCTAGTGAATGGGGAAGTTTAAGGCGGGAATAAGCATGGCCACGTAGAGGGCAGGTGGTAAATGGCCAGGCTGCAGGGGTGAGGCCAGGTTTCCTTGAGAGTAGACAAGGATGTCGGGTAAGGAGCCAGCATTCCCCGAGTCAGGGTTGACAGGAGGGTTCAGACTGTACAAGTTTAGGATTCAGTGTGAAGCCAGCATGCGGTGTGGGAGGAAGGAAAATTCTGCACAGGGACAGGTTCTGTTCCTAGGCTCTGCTCGAAATGGCAGGGAAGACCTCAGTAGGACCCAGGCCACCTGTAGGCACAGTGGCCCCACTCCGCAGTCCCCCGCTCCATCCTTCCAGGTCTCACTTCAGCCATTTGTGCTCTTGCTGCTGTTCCCGGCCTTGAGCCCCAGGGCAAGGGGAGAAGAGAGGTGCCTTCTGTGACCTGGGTTTCTCTACTTCTGGCTGCAAAGTCTTGGGGGAACAGGGCAAGGAGGGTGGCAAGAGTGAGCCTTGCCCAGTGCCTGGACATGCTGGGATTTCCTCTCCATCAACTGTGAGACAAATGGGTTGACTGGGTCCTGTCCCACTTGCCAAGTAGGCTGTGCTTTGTGCCCACCACCCACTCTGCCCCGAAGATACTCATAGCGGTAAAGGGGCACCTCTGGACTGGGAAGCGGGGAAGCCACAGGATTTAGGTCAGGGCTGAGTGGCTGCATACTTGTGAGTGTACACAAACAGACAAGAGGGTGTGTATGTGTGTGTGTGTGTTTGGGGGGGGGGTCGGTGTTGGGACCACAGGGCTGAAGCTCTGGGAGACTGTGAGGGGCCTGTTTGCTGTAGGAGGAAGCCAAGGCATGCAAACACACACACACACACACACACACACACACACACACCATACACTCCCCTCCCCCAGGTCAACTTGTTCTGGAAGCACACCCCTCAGCATGGGCTGGTGGGCTCTAGTCACACAAAACCCCCTGCCTAGTTTTGTTGTTGGCCTCTTCAGAGAGGGGGTGCTGAGCATCTGGAGGTGAGGAACCAGCAGGCCCACGGGGGGGGGGGGCTGGGTGAGCTACTACCTCCCTGGCCCTGCGGCTCCCCTGGCTGGCCACCCACAGAGCCAGGCTTGGAATGGGAACCATCTTCCCAGGACCAGGGCCCCCTGCCCCCAGCTCTGCTTGGTGCTTCTCTCTGCAGACCCAAGACAGGAAATCAAAAGTCTGCAAAAGTGGTAACTGACCCCAGGCCTCCATGGGCTGGGTGTGAGAAGGGATTTAAAGGCAGGTCTGTTCTGTTCTCCATCCATCATGGCCCCTGTCCTGGGAGCAAATCGTCTGCGGCTTAGAAAAATACCCGCACATTCCAAAGGCAGAGAGGTCAGAGGTGAGGCAGAAAGGGCCTGCAGCTTGCCTCAAGCCTGGAGTGACAGATGGGGTGGGCTGGGGGGCTGGGGGGCTGGAGGGCTGTCAGGCTGGGAAGGGGCCCCAGCGATGGGCTCTGAGCCCCGGGGCTGCCTCCTGAGGGCTGCAGTGAACCTTGGCCAGGTGTTCCCAGCACAGTGATCTTACCATTTTTTGCAAAGATTCATCTGGCTGGTGAGATTGAGAATGGATTGGGGGTGGCGTGGGTACAGGACAAGCAGGGATGGTTTTAGTGTTCAGGTGAAGGAAGAAGTCTAGGAAACAGGCTGCCGGAAAGGAAGGGAGGCTGTGATTTTTTTTTTAAATTTATTTATTTTATTGCAAAGTCAGATATACAGAAGGGAAGGTCTTCCATGCAATGATTCACTCCCCAAGTAACTGCAATGGCTGGTGCTGCACCGATCCAAAGCAAGGAGCCAGGAGCTCCTTTGGGTCTCCCATGCTGGTGCAGGGTCCAAAGGCCTTAGGCCATCTTCTACTGCGTTCCCAGGCCACAAGCAAGGAGCTGGATGGGAAGCAGGGCTACTGGGATTGGAACTGGCATCCATCTGGGATCCCGGCACGTTCAAGGCAAGGACTTTAGCTGCTAGGCCACAGCACTGGGCCCATGGCTGTGATGTTAATTGCCTACCTGGGAGCTGTGGTCCAATACCAGGCCTGATAGAAGGACTCAGGGATGAGGTTGGCTCTCAGGTTGACCTCATTTACAGCCCTAGCCTTACCTACTCTATGACAAGTGAGTGACTTTAAGGACCAACTTAGCATGATCAGGTCTCGCTTTTTCTGTGGGTCCCATGAACCCTGCTTGATGGCAAAGTTAAATGAAGTCAGAGTTGGTGCTCAAGGCTTAGCCAGAGGGGCAGACGAGCCAGACTGAGCATTAAGGAAGGAGTAAAGGCTGCTGGCTGTGTGTGGGTTGTGTGTCCAGGGGGCATGTCGACCCTGGTGTTATCTCAGGTTTGGCTGGACCACCATGAGAATTCACTGGCTCTCCTTCTCTGGCCAGGCTGTGATTCTGGTTTTGGCAAGGAGACAGCCAAGAAACTAGATGCCATGGGCTTCACGGTGCTGGCTACCGTGTTGGAGTTGAATGGGCCTGGTGCCCTAGAGCTGCGTGCCTGCTGTTCCTCTCGCCTGAAGCTGCTGCAGATGGACTTGACCAAGCCGGCAGACATCAGCAGGGTGCTGGAGTTCACCAAGGACCACACCACCAGCACAGGTCAGTGAGCACAGCTCCCTAAGGAGTGTGGCAGGTGGGCAGAGAGGGGCTGCCACTAACTGAGGTCTCCCTGCCCGGCTCTGTGCCCTCAGGTCTGTGGGGTCTAGTCAACAATGCAGGCCTCAATGACATAGTGGCAGATGTGGAGCTGTCTCCTGTAGCCACATTCCGTAACTGCATGGAGGTGAACTTTTTTGGTGCCCTTGAGCTGACTAAGGGCCTCCTGCCGCTGCTGCGTCGCTCCAGGGGTCGCATTGTGACCGTGGGCAGCCCTGCAGGTGAGTGCCCTACTTGGTTGCAAGGGGAAAAGCAGGGAGGGGATTCAGAGGGTCCCTGGCTGAGGCTGAGCCACCTCACCCCAATCTATTCGCAGGAGACATGCCCTATCCATGCTTGGCAGCCTACGGAACCTCCAAGGCAGCTATGGCACTGCTAATGGATGCATTCAGCTGTGAACTCCTTCCCTGGGGGGTCAAGGTTAGCATCATCCAACCTGGCTACTTCAAAACAGGTGAGGTGGGGACAGGATGGGAAACCAGAAATAAACACAGTCTTATGGGGTTGGGGTCAGATTGCGGGTAATGTGTGGCTTTAGCTGGACAATGGCCAGGGTGGAATAAACGTGCTCAGCTCTGCTTCTAGCTGAGGGAGAGCGCTCACCTTGCCACTCCTTCCCCAGAGTCTGTGAAAAATGTGAGCAACTGGGAACAACGCAAGCAACTGCTGTTGGCCACCATGTCCCAGGAGCTGCTGCAGGCCTACGGCGAGGACTACGTCGAGCACTTGCACGGGCAGTTCCTGCACTCGCTCCGCCTGGCGGTGCCTGACCTCAGCCCCGTGGTAGACGCCATCATTGACGCGCTGCTGGCGACTCGGCCACAACGCCGCTATTACCCAGGCCGTGGCCTGGGGCTCATGTATTTCATCCACTTCTACCTGCCAGAGAGCCTGCGGCGCCGCTTCCTGCAGTCATTCTTCATCAACCCCTGCCTGCCTCGTGCACTGCGGCCTGGCCAGCCTGGTGCTACCCCTACTCAGGACCCCAACCCCAATCCCACCCCAGACCCTTCCTTGGCAGGAGCTCGATGAGCTGCCCCAGCTTGGGAGGTCCTATGAGCCCTTGCCCTTGCCCTTCCCCTGGGCACGACAACTCCCTAGAGCCTGGTCTAAAGAACTCCAGTCCCGGCGAGGCTGTTTCTCAGTGAGCTGCTGGGTCCCCCTTCTGCTTCATGAGCCTGTGCAGCTGGTTTGGGGCACAATGCTCCCCGCTGCAGCTTCGAGATCCCGGCTGGATGGAGAGTAAGGTGTACAACTTCACTGGAGCCTTTGGCAGAACTCTGCCAACTGGCAACTCTGCAAACTAAGGGACAACTGGGTGGGCTGGGGACCTCCCTCAGGATTCTTTCTGGGCAACAGCGCCTCAGTGCTGCAATGGGAAAACTCCTACTATCTCTTGACTGGCTCAAGAATTAGGGCCCCAGTGCCCACCCCCTCCCAAGTCACAGGGATGCTGCCTTCCCTACTTGTCTGATGGCTACTTTTTAAATAAAGATACATTTTTATTTCTCCTACAATGAGGGAGATGGTGTGTTTGGGAAGGAAGACTGCCTGGCCACCTGCCTGACAAGGTGTGGCTGTGGGACAGAGGTTGGGAACTGCCTGGAGAATTGGCAGGGCTCTGCAGAGGGAGGAGGCAGAGCAGGATGGTGGTGGTTGAGGAGGGGGGCCCAGCGCTGTGTGTACTCAGACCTGGCTGGGCTCGCCTAGAAGATTCTGGTTCCCACCTTCTTGTCCTCTGCTGACCCCCAGCAAATTATTTATCCCTGGGTCTGGGTTTCACCATAATGAAGTGGGGGTAATAACCCTGATCATAGGCTAGGATTCCCAGGAGGAAAGCAAGGAGGCCTTCCTCCAGGCCAAGCCCAGCTACACGACCTGTCTCTGTGTCTAGCAAAGGTGCTTCTCCTCCACTGAGGCCCCTGGCTGGGAATCACACCTACCCACCACGGGAGCCGCAGAAGGCCTAGGCAGCAGACTAGATGAAGGTGGGGACATGGGAGAAGCTGGGGAATTCCGGGGCCCCAAAGAGATAGCAAGCAGTGGAGTAAGATAGGGCAGTTTTATTGTCTCAGAGGGGGGACAGAGCTGAGGGGGAGGGCTGCCGTCATCTCCCTTACGCCCTGAGGACACACCCACACTACCCTTCCCCTGGGCCTGCAGCTCTGGGAGTGACACCACACCCAGGGAGTCTCAGACTGGAGGAGGAACAGGAAAGTGACCATGTGATTCTCAACTATGCCAGCAGCTGTAAACATGGCGCTGAGGAATCCTCTACTCTGGGGGGGGGGGGGGGTGGTCCTTGGTCCATCCTTGGTCAGGAAAGAGGTACCCAGCCCTTGGCAGGGCTAAGATCAGTCTCGAAGCAGGGGCAGGTCTGGGGAGCTGGGTCGCCCTGGGACAATGTGCTGTCCCCTAGGTCAGCGGGTGGACCCTGGGCTTTGTCACAGCACACACAGACACACACATAGCACGCTGGGGAGCCCTAGATCAGAACGCTAGAAGATGGGGATGTAGTTGTCAATCTTGGCACGGTGGCGCTGGGCGATGCACTCGGCAATCCACACAATGTTACGACACTCTTGCTCCTTGAGCTTCACAAAGGCATAGAAGACGCCAAAGTGGAACTGGTTCAGGAAGGCCAATTTATTCAGCTTCACCTGTGGGCAGAGGCAGGTGAAGTATACAGGTGACATGGCCACACAGGCAAGCCTGATGCCATCTACTCTTCACTCTTCCCTTTAATGGGTAGCCCCTGCCAGAGCCCTGTACCCACCTCGTGCTCGAAGAATCGGTCCTCCAGGGTCTTGTCTCCAGGGTTGCTGCCTGCACCCTCAAAAAGCAGCTTGTATTCCTGCCGGGGCAGTGGTAGGAAGGGTGAGCGGGAGGGTGTTGTCAGGTGCTGCCCACATGCCCGCCCATCATCCCACCGGCCAGGCCACTTACTGGGTAGTAGTCGGCCACATTCTTGACCTGCTCATAGTCATCAGCCCGGGCCAACTGGGCCAGGCCCTCAGGGTAGAGCCGCCCACAGTGTGGGAAAAGCTTGGCTCGGTCCTCCTTGGACAGCTCGGTACCGAAGGAGTTGATGGTGATGATGAAGGCGCGGCGATCGGCTTCAAACTGTGGGGCCAGTGTGTGGGTGAGGAGAGAGACAGGAAGGGGAAGGAAGCTAGCAGTGTGTTCCCCCCATGCCAGGGCCAGTGGTAGCCAGCAAGTCGAAAGGTAGGCAGGCACTCACCTCCAGTATGGGGCACATGGCATCGGCAGTGGTCCCACCCAGAAGGGAGCAGAACTTGTAGAAGGACTCCAGGTAGGCCTGGGCAGAGAGCAGTGAACTTTGCTCAGTGACAGCAGGACCCTCAAAGGAGAGGGGAGTCTGCCTAGCCAGCTGCTTGCACTCATTCCCTCCCCAACTCCTTTCAAGGTAGGCTCTGGCCAAGGCAGCCCTTATGGCAAAGTCCCTGAAACATCCAGATTGCACCTGCTAGCCAAGCAGCAGCAGTCTGCCACCTCCCACCCTGCAGGGACAGAGCAGTTTGCTTCACGGTTAGCTTTGAGGCGCAGGAACCCAATCCCTTACCCCAGAGTGCCAGACTCAAAGGGACTTTTGTGTTCCCCCTTTTGATCTGCCTATCTCCCCTTCCCCTGCTCGTTCTGTGTACTGCCTCCTCCCCTCCCCCTTCCTCTCTAACCTGAGAAAACCAGGGGCCCATGGGCTAATGAAGGAAGGTCCCAGTGACAGCATGGACTGAATTCCCTTGGCCCCCAGATGTCTCTCACTTGACAGAACACATTCTCCCACCCCCAAGACAACCCCCAGGCATGACACAGCAGGAACCAAATTGTCAGGTTAGCTCCTCCTGAGGGATGGTTATTGCCTACTCCACGTCAGCCTCCTAGTGCTACGGCTGGAGACGTGGGCAGCCAGCGGGAACAAGAACTTCCTGCCTAGGCAAATTGGATCTGCTGGGCATGAGAAGAGGACAGGTCAGCCCAGGCCCCAGTTCTCTCCCAACACTTGCTCACAACATCAGCCACGTTTCCTTCCCCACACCTTGTCCAGGCCCAAGATGGTCTCACAGGCCCTGTTGGGAGCCCACTGCACTCAGAGCCATCAAAGTGACCAAAAAGCTGGCTGGGAAGTGGAGATGTGACTCGATGTCAGCCACTGTGATGCAGGAGGTGGCATCCCATGGGATCAAGTTTTTTTCTACAACCCTGGGGCAGATGGGCCCACAGGGGCTACTAACATCCACAGCAACAAGATGAGCCCTCAGAGTCCAATAGACCAGGCTGGGGATGACCAACAACACTGGGCAAACTCAGGAGAAGGCCTGAGGGTGACCACAGGGATCTCAGGAAGCCAAAGTCTAGGACAAGTCAGGGGATTGAAAGCCTGCATGGGGAAGGGAATCCCCAGGACTCAGAAAGTCCTGGGTGGGAGGGGACAGTGACAGCTGCTAACCTTGAGCCTGGTGAGGCTCCTCATTCCCTCTGGGAGTCTCCCAGTCACCTTCTTCCCTGTGGCCACCCAAACTCTGCCAAGGCCTGCCCCAGGGGTCTAGTTGGTACCTGTGGAGGAAGCCACCATCTAGGTCTTGGGCTCCATGCCCTGCAACTCACCCATTTGCTTAGCCTTGTGGTGCCAATCCCTAAAGGGGCCGATCCTAGGGTCAGGGAGGCCAGAGGTGACAGGTCCAGAGATCAAGGTCACCTCCCCACCCTATGCCCTGGAGTTTGCCAGCCCGCAGCCACATACTGGCTGCCTATGGTTCCCACCCACCAGGCAGCTGAGGGTCCACCTAATCTCCCATCTGTGGCCACTAGGCTGGGACATCGCCCACCAGGCAAGCAGTTCTGGCACAAGGCCTGCAGTGTTGGCTTGGTGTTTATAAACTGGTGCCTGGGCAGCCCTCGTCAGTGACTCCAGCTAGAACCAGTCAGGCCTGGTAAGGGTGTGGGTGAGGCTTTGGGGGGGGCAGCCGCACCCCTCACCCTGTCTCGGGGCAGGGAACCCGGCAATGGGCCAGCTGAGAGGGAGGGAGTACTAGGAGTGTGTGTGAGTGCACTCACTCGGCTGGCTGGCTGGCTGGCCTCCCGATACGCGAGGTGGATGAGAGCACTCGCTTTGGCAAACAGGCTAAACCACGTGTGATCCTGTGCATTGTTGGTGACATACTGTGTGGCTTAAGGCAACCGCCCCACTTATGTGAGTCTGGCTGGCCTACTTCCTGTGCTCCCAGGGCAATCCCAAGGATGCAAGGGGTGGATCACCTTCCTACTTTGGGTAATCTCATCTGTCCTCCCCATCATAGCCACCCAAGCCTCTCAGAGCACCCTCCGCTTTATTGCAAAGCTTTACTGCTGACCTTGTCCGCAAAATAAAGTTTGGACTTTTGGCCTGACGCGCTTCCCTCAGATCTCTAACTGTCCATCTGGAACCTGCACAGCCACAGCAGACCTCCTGGCCTGGGGTTGCTTGCCTGCCAGTACTATCAGTCTCTGGGCAGGCTCTCCCTTCCCCTACCACCCGGACTCCCACATGGTCTGGCCCTAGCCCCTATAGAAACAACGGCCCAGGCTTTGGCTATGGCTGAGCACCAGCCACCCAGCTCCATCTCCAATGGGAGAGGGGCTCCAAGACCCAAAAGACTGAGGCCCTCAGGGCTCAATCAGCAGGGCCCTGGGCCCAAGCTGTCCTCAAACCCCCTTCACAGCCTTCCCCAGCTGCTCTGTGGTCCTTGTCAGTCCATCAGCAGGTGGGACACCGCAGCTGAAACCCTCACTACAGCCAGAGCCTAATCTGTCCCACATGCCCCTAACTGGCTGCTGGTTCTTAACCTCTCTCGATCAGGGCAGTACAGACCCAGGAACCCCAAGTATATCCTCTCTATCCCCAGGAGTCAGTCAGCCTGTGCCACAAACTGGGGGAAGAGGAAGGTGGTTGGGAACCTGAAAGGGACATGAGGACCTGGCTACGCCTGGCTGGTTCCCGACCCCCCACCATCACTAAAACACCACTGCCTTCACTCAAGTGCTTGTCCTTGCTGGCCACAGCCCAGGGGAAGGAGGCCCAAGGGCTATGGCCTGGGTGGTGGCCCGTGACCCTCCTGGATGCTGGGGGAGTGGCCATCCAGGAGCCAGCTCTGACAAGCCAGGTGGTGGAACACCAGCCACTCCTGCTGATCTTATCAAAGTCTGCCGCGGGCGCCACAGGATGGAGAACCTGTTCCATGCAGCCTTCTACCCATCACGGGTTCACAGAGGGGAGAAACCCCTAGGATAGGAGCCTGGTGTGAGAACATCATCGAGTCCTAGTGCATGCCTCACATTCAATCATCACCCCAGAAGGTGCCCCCATAGCCTTCAACAGCCATACCCCAACGAGCGAAGCCCTCCCTGCCCCCCACCCCATCCAGCCGGTGCAGGCCACTACCTTGTACAGTGTATTGCGGATGATCTCAATATTCATCTCATCCAGGTCCTGTTCTGAGATGCAGTCCTGGAAGAAAGCCGCTGAGGAAGGAAGGCAAGGCGTGAGGCAGGTGGGGCAGGGGGCCTGGGCAAAAACCATGCTGGGCAAAGAGGACCCCTACTTAGGAGGCCTATGGGGCTGGGTATGGTGGGGGAGGGCACCCCCTGACTCACAGTCTAAGCTATTACCTTGGAAGTGACAGAGGCAATACTCGGCCACGCGCACTGACCTGAGTGTCTCCAGCCTCTTTGCTTCTAAAATTGATTTATAAAGGAAGCGGCCAGCCATAACATGATCTAATCAGCGCTGGGGCTGACCCAAGCTCAGACCATGCCAAAGACAGGCTTGCATAAGAGGCCATGACATTCTCCCTTCTCCAGGGGCAGCTGTGGATCTAGGGCCTGGTGCCCACTTTTCTACATCTCCCAGGAAGGCCTGGCAACCATGCTTGGAAAATCAGCCTCTTCCTCTGACAAAGAATAAGTTTGCCAGGTAGGTGGGCATGGACCAGGGACCTGGGAGGGAGCCCCTGTGGGGATGGAAGGAAAGACTACAGCAGGAATGAGCACGCCCCCATGAGGGTCTATAAACTCATTTAGAATGTCTCTTTTTCAGAAAAATGACGGGGGTGGGGGGAACCCCACAGAAGCTACAAGATATGACAAGTGTCTCAGCTACTGGGAGGGTCTACAGAGAACAAGGTGAGCAGGAAGCACACAGGTCTCTCCCACAGGACCTAGTGCAGCTCACATCCCTGTGGTATAACCTGGGTGGTATCCTGGGGTCCTGAGGCCTAGAACTCTGGAAGATTAGAGCATTTACTCTTACTCCTCTCAGGCCTTGATGCCTTCTCTTCAGCCTCCTGGGCAGGCAGGAGCCAGACCTGTTTTGGGGGAGCCGTGCCTAAGGTCCTCATTCCTTCCCTTGCTGGCCCTCCCATGTGAAGCCTGTTGCCTACTGGATGTGTCTGACCTGGCTGCTGCTCAGTGGAGGCACATGGAGCTGCTTGCTCCCTTCCTCAGGCTAATGGGGAGGCCACTGCACACCCCTGTGTGGGCTCCCATTTAGGGCCACAGTTTGTGAGGGCCCCATGACCCCCAAGGACCCAAGTTTCTCTTTCTCTTCCCTGAGTTTAGCCTTACTGGGCACTGAGAAACCAGCCAAGTGGTCTGGGTAGGCTCTGTGAGCAACCTACCTGGCCTGGCAGGAACACGAGGGAAGGGTGCAGAAGCAGCACGCAACAAGGTGAGGAGGAGAGGATGGGGGATCCAGAGGGCAAGAGCAGAGTATGCAGCAGTGGGCAGGTGTTTGGTGCCAGCTCAGGGTCCCCTCCTGGGGGCACGCGGGTGCTGCTGGCATGAACCCCACAACCCGCGTCCTGCTCCCGGCTCAGTGGCTCACCTAGGGGTGTGTCCACCAGAATGGCGTTGTAGAGCTCGGCAGGGGTCTGTGCAATGTTCACGGCTTCCATCTGTTCAAAGCTGCCAAGCGGGTGACACTTGGGCACAAGCTCGGCGATGGAGCGCTGGTGCAGCGTGCCCGTAATGAGCAGGATCACGTTGTCGATCATGTAGCTGTACCTATGGGACAACAGCAAGGCAGCCTGTCAGCACAGGACCCCAGGCCCAACAGTGTGCACCCATTTATGGCAGCTGCTCTCCTCTCAGCCCAAATTCTGTCTAAGTTCCTGACTAGTCGACTACTACACTACCACTACACAGGGAGCATGGGACAGGTACAGCCTCTCCCCTGTGGGCTGGGGAGAGGGTCACACCTCCCAAGAGGCTAGACAGTGCTATTCACCCCACAGTGTGGAGTGTTCTCACAGGAGCAGGGGGCTATGAGCACACACAGAGCAGGCAGCAGCTCAGTTCAGGGGTGGGTGTGGTCAGCAGCTTGAGATACAGGGACTGGCAAATCAGAGTGTGTTCTGCAAGAGGGAACAGTGTGTGCAAAGGCCTGCAGGCATGCAGTGAGTGATGGGAACATTCAAGGAACGGAGCCCTGTCAGGACCAGCAGGAGGAGAGAAAGGGCATGGCTCCTGGCACAGCGGGAGCAGGGGGGCATCTGGAGGCTGGGCATGGGCCAGGCTGAGTGTGCCAATTTCATGCTGAGCACGAGACATCCACGGACAGGATGTGAGCAGTCATATGGGGACAGAGAGACACAGGCAGGAAAAGCTGGTAAAGAAGGGAGGGAAGGCTGAGGAACAGGGTGGAGATAAGCTTCTCCAGAGAAGACCAGAGCAGGCGTCAGTGGGACGCCCCCTTGGAATGAGGTCCCAGGCCAGGCTGACCTGCACAACCATACTTCAAAGAGAGAACTGCCCTCTTCCTCGAGGGCCTGTGGCCAGGCCAGGCAACAGCCCAGGTCAGCCTGGATAACACCCAGAGACCTGGACAGGCAGGAGCCTGGGTTGAGGTCAGCCTCAGGCGAAGGCCTCCACCTGGGGGGCCTGCCAAAGCCAGCTCTGGAAGGTGCACGAGCAGCAGAGGAGGCTGTGGTGCTGAGCTAGGCTGGGCTGGGCAGACTGGGCAAGCGACAAGGTTCTGCCTGCAGCTGTGCCACTGAAGAGTAGGGGCAACGAGCTCTGTGTGGCCACCTACGGGGTGACAGAATAAAAAGGGGAAGCTAGGCTGGCAGTGGCTGTTCCCAGGCATAGGTCCCATGCTATCTTGTGGGTGAGCCCAAGCTGAGCCTCAGACCTGTGACAGGATCTTGCAATGCTCAGTATGAAGACTGCTCAGAGAAGATGCTGGTAGGGATGAGGGCAAGCAAGGCGGCGTCCCAGGGCCTGCGGGCTGACCACTGGGGATGTTCCCACAGGGTCCTCTGGCGAGGCAGCAGGACGGAGAGGCCCCAGCTCTTGTCCTGACTTGACCCCCACTCCCCTTGCAGGCTGTACACTCCCCCAGCTCCAACCCGGCCTGGCGCTCTGCTCTGACCTCTGCTCTCCTGGGCCCAGGGCCAGACAGCTGCCCTCTCTCCACCCTGTCTGGCTGGGTCAGCCACTAGATGTGGACTGAGAAGAGACAGGCCCCTCTTTCCAAACTGAGGGCCTCGGACAGGCTTAAACTGCAGCTGAAAGCCAAGAGACCCAAACGGTCAGCCTCCTGCTCTGGACCCCTTGGAGCTGGTAGAGTGAAGGAATCTTGGAGAGACACAGCTGCATGTCGAAGCCTCAAGCCCAGTCTGCATTCTGTCTATGCCGGGAAGCACAGTCTCTTACTGACCCTTACCGTCTCCAGCATATCACCGAGCCCGGGGTCCAGGTGACACCCAGTCCCCCCCCAACGCCCCACCCAGCCTACCATGTAGAGACCCTGCCCAGGAGCCTATATGCGCTCTTCACATTTTCACATCCTCTGGACTGGGAGAGGGAGAACAGCACTTTCTTGGGCCCACACTATCCAAGTGATCCCACAGCCACTGTCTGAGCAAATGAGACCCTGAGGTGCCCAGTGCCAGATCCTGTCACACGATAAGGGAAAGCTCCACATCCCCTAACCCCAACCCTGGCTACATATGTGCCGATCAAGTCGAGGACCCACATCTGGCTCTACGATCCCTGTCTGGTCTGGCCTTTTCAGAGCGAGTCCCACAGGACACTCTCCTCTTCTTGAGCTTCCCCCTCCCTGTGCTCACGACAAATGCTGTTTGGGTTGGGGATAGGATGGGGTCAGCGCCCGGGGAGGGGCCCTGGCACTCCCTAGGTCCTATCCTGGCTTTGGGGGAGAGTCTCGGGGGAAGATGCTGCCGGCTATCTTTGCTGCTGTCCCTCCAGTGATGTGGAACAGGCCAGCTCTGACTCATTTCTCAGCCCTGACAGATGCGCAAGTCAGTGGTAGCACCCCTTGGCTTCCCCGCCCTCTCCTGCTGACTCCTAGTTGTGCACCAAGAAAAATGCTGAACCAAGTCAGGGTCCCTAGTATCACGCCACCTCAGCCTTGTCCAAGGTCCTCTTAGTAACCTAGGGCTGGGTCAGCCCTGAACAAGCTTGTGTCAAGCTCAGCAACTCCCTGCCCCTGGTGCTGAGATCGCTGTGGCAGCGGCTGCTGCTGTTCTCCCTTGCCAGTTAGGGTCAGAATCCCTCCCTGGGGAAAGTGCCTGGCATTGATGCTGGCTCAGCTGCGTACCTATCTCCCAAGGCTAGGGCCTTCAGCAGGCAAGGAAATCCTCCTCTTTGCCTGGCTTCGGCAGCTGCCTCCCTGCCCCCAGAAAACCGCTCTACAATCCTTCCCCTCATTTGGCCTCAATAGGAGAGAATGAGGTTCCAGCTGGTCAGCGTCTCCCTCCAGGGGAAGACAGCTGGGGAGTGGATGGCCCACTGCCAGCTAGGCCAAAGAGGCCCCTGTGGGCTGGGGGCAGGGTGATTTGTATTCCTCTGCCCAGAGGCCCTCTTTTGCCTTGGGCCTTCAAAATTTATTTTGGGTCCTCAGAAATATCTGGATGCAATTTAGAAAGCCACTTCCTCCAAGAAGCCCTCAGAACCCTAGCATCAGTCCCTGTCCTTTCTGGCGCCCTCTGGTGTCACTGGATGGAATAGCAAGGTTTTTCAGCCCCTGGGTCAGCCTGACCCTGGTGAGGTTGCCAGGAAGCCAGTACCCCTACAGGCCTAGCAAATCAGCAGCTCCCAGCAGTGGTTCCCATGAACAGTTGGTAACAAGCACATTTGAGGTGACAAAGTTCTGTTGAAAGTGCAAGTGAACAGAAATGTCCACCATGGCCTCAACACAGTACCCCTCAAGCTTAGTTTTACTCTGTAACCAGTATGAGCAGTATGAGGTATGGCCAAACTGGCATGTGTAGGAATCGGGTTTGGGGTAGGCCTTGTTGAGGGGTTGCTCCAACTAAGCTGCAGTTCCCACTGATATGTGTGAGGGCTGGGTGTTTGGTAGGCAGGGTTAGGCTGGGTGGAAACATCCATTGGTTTGTATATCAGATGGGGTTGGGGACATAACTAACTGGGTGACTGCAATCACCAATGTATGTGTATGCTCATGTGGGTGATGGACTGAGCCAAACTCTGCACTGGCTGGCACACACAGGAGTCAGGTCTGGGGTCACCTCTGGCAAGGTTTCAATGGGAACTCCCCACAACTGGACCACTGGACTCAAAACTTCAACCATGGAGAAAATCACAGGATCTGTGGTCTGAACATTGAATGTATGTGTCAGAACTGGGCCTCCTTGCTGAAGCCTGGGCAGTAGACAGCATGCACAGATGTACATGGGGGACATGACAGCTCATTGAGGCCTATAGAGGACCTCTAGTTCCATGGCAGAGGATGGAGGGTAGAAAAAATTGGACAACTCCTGGGTCAAGCATTGACAGTGAGCATCTGGACCACTGGAGATTCTAAGGTAGATTGTGTAAGCCAATGGACTTTACAAGGATCTCCTCGACCTTGGAGCACTGAAATCAACAGTGTCTCAGAACTATCGAAAACACTTTAACAGTGCCCTTGGAACATGCTCCATATTGGGGACCCTAGGATGACATCAAGTGATGTTCCCTATTCCTAAAAAAAAAAAAAAAAAAAAAAGAAGAAGCAATTGTCTCGTCCATTTTCTCCCGTACCTCAACCCTTCCCACCCTAATCAGTGGTCCACATGGGCAGACATCCATCCTAACTATGTAAAAATAAAGTTTTTTTAAGTATGAGGTATGGCCCTCTTCTAAGGCAGTAGCCAGGTCCTGTGGAGGGATCAGCCACATACCCCAGAAACAGCGTGGTAGACAGAGAGCAGTGAAGGGCCAGGGTAGAGAGGTCCAGGGACACCTGAGACCCAACAGGGCCCAATGAGATACCATGTCCTGGGCAAGATGGTTGATACAGATGCTCCCTCCAGCAGAAGACAAACATGGATTCTGAGCTCACCCAGATGGTGCAGGCTACGCCCTGCCCAGGTTCTCCCAACAGGCAGCTGGGCTGCAGCCAAGTGCTGCCCACTAGGGAAGACCCCTCCACAGAGCACAAAGACGAGGGCCTCTGGAGCCCAGTTGGGACTTGTCAGGGACCAGGCTCCCTCCTCTGATAAGCAACTCCCAGTTTCTCTCCTGGGGTGCCTCTCCTGTAAGACATCATCATAGACTGCTGATATTCAGATCTTTCCTAAGGCTATTTAGGTCAAGTCATCCAGCAGCAGGTCAATGGCTAGGCCTGAAATCAGCCTTTGGGAGAGTGACATAGCAACATGATGCAGTCATAGCAGTAAGAGCATCAAGACTACACAGTTAAAGTCTGCCTTGGAGAACTGATCTTATCCAGGCTGCATGCCCCAAACCAGGCAGCTGCGTCCATTCCAGCCACCCATTCCCTCTCTACTCGACCCTGGAGTTGTCCAATACTGCGAAGCTGCCTCTGGCCCTGGTCCCCTCTCACTGCAGCTGCCCCCAGGTCTATTTGGGTGCTGTCTGCACCACCCATCTCTGCACCTACACCCATCTCTGCACCTACACCATCTCTTTATGTGTAGGCATCTTCCCCGACACTGGGGCTGCTCAAGAGCAGGCAGTGGTTACATGGCTTGGCTAAAGGCTAGTCAGCCTTGGCCAGCTTCTGTTTGCACATCTCAGCCATCCTGAGCCAACTCTGAAGAACATTAAAGAGGTCCTCTGAGAGATGGACCTGAGGTGATTTCTGTGGAATCCCTGACCTCTGTCCCTAGCTGGACCAACTGTGTCTGCATGGTAATGGCACTGTTGCCTCTAGTCTTTGCCCAGGATGGGCCACCACCTAGAAGAGTGCAATCTCGTGGGTTGATTCCATAGCTCTCTCTCTTTTTTTTTTCCTTTAATTATTTGCAAAGGTAAGACAGACAGAGAGAAAGAAAGGGAAAGAAAGAATTCCCTAAATGCCCACAACATCCAGGACTGAGCCAGGCCAAAGCCAAGAGTTGGAAGCTTCATCCAGATTTCCCACATGGGTGGCAGAGACCCAAGGACTTGAATCATCATGTGCTGTATCCTGGGCTGCACATGAGCAGAAAGCTGCATTGGAAGCAGAGGTGGGACTTGATCCCAGGCACTCTGATATGGGATGGAGTCATCCAGAACTGGAGCTCAATAGGTTTACCATGAGGCCCAGTCTGCTCTGGGCATTTCTAGAAGAGCTTTCTCTTTCCCAGCATGAGCAGCATACATGTAGAACTCCCTCTACCTAGAATGACCCCTCCTCCTCTACCAATTCTTCTCTTAATCATCTTTGTCTTCAGCCAACCAGCCCCCTCCTTAGGGAAGTTAGCTATGAGTGCCTAGCCTAGAGAGGGCCCCTGCGGAATTCTTCTCACACCCAGGAGGACCTGTTGGGGCAGAGCACAGCGAGGGAGGCAGGGGTTAAAACAGCACTGTCAGGAAGGGGGAGCTATTCCACGGGGTCACCTTGGCTAGGGCCTTGGGGTGGAGAAATAGGACCAGAAACTGCCTGGAAGGTCAAAGGATGTGGGCCAGGTGAGAGAACACATGCAGTTTAGTCCCCATGAGATGGACTTTTAACAAAAGAACTGTCAGAGATTTGAGATTGATCACAGGTTGATGGGAAGAATCTGGAAGGGAAGGTGGGCTACCCAGACAGGAGTGCAGCCTAATTGGCCATTCAGAATCCAGGGAGGAGGAGGAAGGGACTCAGGGCATAAAAGGATCCAAGAGAGAAGGAGGCTGCTTCTACCATTGGCACAGGGTCCGGGGGGCGGGGCACAGACACAGGCCTGGGAGGTAAGTTGGCTTCTATCTGTGGAGGAGGACATGGGCCATCTGCCCAGAGACAGGGCTGGGGGCAGGGAGGGCGTTCAGACAGAGAGGTGGCCTTCCCAGCCTTGCCTGGGGGCTGCAGATGCTGAGGAGGGAGAGCAAGAGGCCACAGGTGGGGACACACCAAGGCTAGTAGAACGGGGAGCATGATCTTCTGGCAGCAGTGGGACACCGCCCCCCACCGGCACCGCTTCAGTGGCCGGCTTCCCCAGCTTTGCTTTTGGCAGTGGAAGTGGGGGGAGGCGACTCCAGGATGGAGGTTGCTGGGATTCCTCCAGGGCTGGGGGGCTGCCAGCCGGGCGGGTCTCCGAGTCGGGCGGCCAAGTGAACTGCGGATGTTGGCAGAGGAGTGCTTGAATGATGGACCGGGGAACCTCAGCTGGGGAGAGCTGGAAATGAAGACACAGAGGCAGCAGGGGAGGAAGCAGGGCCCAATGTCCTGCTGAGGCCGGAACCCGTGTCCCACGAGGGACTGAGCGATGGGCTGGAGGGCCTGAAGGCTGTGGGTAGAGTGGGGGGTGCCTGATTCAGCAATTTCAGGGGTGGAGCTATTCCAGATGGTGACATGTCCTTGGGCAGCTATCAGTGGGGGTGGCTGAAGCAGAGCAGAGGCACAGAGGCACAAAGGCGCAGAGGAGTGGGTCACGGAATGAGCAGCCACAGCTCAGACGGAGGGACACGTGGCTGCTGAGCTCCTCCCGAGAGTGAGGGCAGGAGTGAGAGGACAGGAGGCCTACAAGCTACATTCACCCATGAATGGAAGGGGCGGGGAAGCTGTGGATTTAGAGAGCCTGCCACAAGCTAACACTTGGCTGCCTAAAGCACAGCCGGTGCCTGCAGCCAACCTCGAGCAAAGAGCTGGCGGCCGCTGGGCCTCAGTCACGCTCAGAGGCCTCTCCAGTTTCATGGCCCGGCAGGCTGAGACCAAGTTGGGCCAGGGGTTAGATGCACAGTCTGGGGACCAGGGAGTGGACAGGAGGGTGGGGAACACAGAGCAGGAGGGATGGCAGATGTCCCCTGACCACTGGCATAGGGTCAGGGCTTCTCTGGCCAGCCTAGCTGGCAAGGCTGGAACTTTCACCAGGAAGCTGAGGAGCCTTGTACAAACAAACTGCAGGTGAAGGTTGGGCTCCAACAATAAATGGACTGCTTCCTGGTATGTCCTTGGTCCTGGCTTTGGGGCAGGGGACACACGGGCCCATGTCAGTGTTGCTGTGTAACACTGGTGTGGCAGCATACAACACAACCAATCTCTGACGCCCTGTCTGAAGGGAATCCATGACTGAGACCAGGGTAGTATGAGTGTGGGCCCAGCTGGTCAATAGGGAGGACCTGGGGGAAAGAAGCCTGTGGCCAACAGAATGTCTGGATGTCAATGTGGCCACTCAAGTTCCAGGGTTCCTTGTGGATACTCCAGCCTGTGGCGCCTGCCTGGGAATGGAGCCCTCCAGATATAGACCCCACTTAAGAAAATGCCTGCTTTTGGGCCCGGCGCGGTGGCGCAAGTGGTTAAAGGTCCTCGCCTTGCACGCCCGGGATCCCATATGGGCGCCGGTTCTAATCCCGGGAGCCCCGCTTCCCTTCCAGCTCCCTGCCTGTGGCCTGGGAAAGCAGTCGAGGACAGCCCAAAGCTTTGGGACCCTGCACCCGCGTGGGAGACCCGGAAGAGGCTCCTGGCTTCGGATCGGCATAGCATCAGCCGTTGCGCTCACTTGGGGAGTGAATCATCGGATGGAAGATCTTCCTCTCTGTCTCTCCTCTCTGTATATCCGCCTTTCCAATAAAAATAATAATAATAAAAAAATAAATCTTAAAAAAAAAAAAAGAAAATGCCTGCTTTTGTCTGAGGGAAGGAATCAAGTCAGACAGCTAGCTACCCGATTCTGGAGGGACAAGTGGGGCAGGTATACCAGGTCCCAAAGGGCAAAGTGATAGTGCCATACTTGGGGAATAGAGAAAACTGGACAACGCCCCCAGAAGAATGTGGCGAAATGCTTTCCCATGCCACCTCAGTCTCTGTGGTGCAGACACACTCAGAAGCTAGCCATTTATTAGGCCTCTTCCCACTATGTGGGCAGCAACCTAGCTGGGCCCATGTCTTTAGCTACCAGGCCCTAATTAATGGCTCCACGGACATACCTGCAGGGCCTCCCCCACTTCCCCAGACCCATGTGGCATACACACTGCCCAGGCCCCACACCCTCTCCCAACCTACATATTTCAGGGTTCTCTTCTCCACTCAGCTTCTCCAGGAGTCTAAGGTAGGCAAAGCTGCCCCAAAGAGCCGTGATGGGGAAACTGGGATAGCCCAGGGTCCCAAGCTGGGGGCCTTCCCCTCTGAGCTCCGGGGGCTTGGGCCAGCATTGGAAGAGAAGCAGCTGGGCATTCAGGACCCCTTACCCCTGCCTGCAATCTCCCCACAATCCAGGGTAGTGGTCAGAATGGAGAGAGATTAAGGCTCAGGCCAGACCGAACCACAGGACATGAATGGGTCATCCCAGGTTCAGTCCATCCCTTGACCCCTGACCCTGACATAGGGCTGGGGTCCTACACAGTGGTCATTATGGATGTTACAGGGTGAGAAACGGGGCTCCTCAGGTATAGGACAAGGGCTCCCTCCTAGTCCTGTCATGTGGCACACTCTCAACCATACAGCACAACCCCAAGGTTGCTGGTGACCCCACTTCAGGGGTAGTAGTCCAAAGCTGTCCAAATAACCTGTCCACATGGCCCAAGAGGACTCCGAGGGCAGTGCTGGATTGGCAGAACTATCATTGGCTCTAACGGTCTACAGGCACAAAAGGCAGCTGGTCTAAGACACTCACGTGATGAAGTCCAGAAAGCTGGCAAGTGGCTCATAGGCGTGGTTCCTCATGTGGCGGAACTCCACCACCATCTTCTCCTTGAGCCGGTCATCGATGACTGACACTGTCAGAGGTGATGCCTCGTTGGCCAGGAAGTTGCCATAGTCTGTGCTCTGCAGGTGCAACTTCAAGTCTGAAACCCAACAGTGGGAGGGTGAGGACTGGTCTTGCTAAGTCTCCCCTGAAGTCCCGAGGCCCCATCCCCATTCTAGGTCCCGCCTCTCCCCTGCAGCTCTGCCTCACATCTATTACCCTGATCTCCATCTCCCCATGACCCACAGTGGGGTCATGCTAAGGCTCTGGAGTGACTCAGATCTCTGGGCTGCAAGAAAAGCACCCAGGATCCAAGTCTAACTCTGAATCAAACAACTGTGCTTGGAAATGACAAGGAAGCTCATACAAGGTCCCATTTACAACCCACAGCCTTTGAGGGCTTTCTACATGCAAGATCAGCCCTAACCTAAGGCACAATACAACACAGATACTGCCCTCGAGGGCCTCAGGAGCAAGCCACAGACCTCAAGCCTATACAAGGAATATGAAATAAAGGAGACGCCATGGGAATAGAAAGGCAAGGGCAGCAGAACAGGCTGGAGATGAGGTCCTGCTATGTTGGGCACCACAACAAAGGAACAGCTGGTAGGCCTGTGTAAGTGAAAGGGCTCTGAAGGACAAATGAGTGGCATGAAGGGGAAAGGAGGCTGGCAGTAAGGATTGGGCTGTCCTTAGGAGTGGCTAGAGGTAGGCAGGACAACCGTAGGGGTTTTCCTATGACACTGTAGGATGGGTTGAGGGAAAAGGCTATGCAAGACAGAGTAGAAGGACCCTGGGGAAGTGGGAACCTTGCCACAACTTAGCACTTTCCCAGTTTTCATCCTTGACTTGGTCTCCTAGTCTATCTTCCACACAGCAGAGATCTTTTGCTTTGTTTAAAAGACTGATCTATTTATTTGAAAGGCCGGGTTACAACAGAGGAGAGACAGAATGAGCAAGCAACCTTCCATCCACTGTCTAGCTCCCTAAATGACCACAATGGTCAGGGCTAAGACAAGCAGAAGCCAGGCTGCCTGGAACTTCATCTGGGTCTCCCATGTAGGTGGCAGGGGCCCAGGACTTGGGCCATTTTCCACTGTTTTGCCGAGTGCATGAGCAGGGAGCTGGCTGGATTGAAGAGGAGCCGTCAGGCTTCCAACTGGCACTCCTCTATGGGCTGCTAGTCTGTCTCACAACACCAGCCCTTCAAGTGATGTTTTTCAAACATACGCCAGACCACAAACCCTCTTGCGTTCCTATGTCCCTCATACTTTAACCCCATGTGTTGCCCCACTGTTGCTGCCCAACATCTGTTCCTGCCATACCTCCTCCCCATCCCTCCAAAAACAAAAACAAGACAAAAAACTTTCCCAGGCTGACCCATCCCCACCTCAGGGCTGAGTGACCCCTGGCTTGCTGGCTCTTCCCATTCCAGCCTTCAGATTGCTCCCTAAATGCCACTTCTTCCAAGGCCTCTGCCCCATCATCATGTAACCCTCACCCTTGTGTCACTTTTTTTTTTTTTTTGACAGCAGTTTTTCCACCCATTGTAATACACATGTTTGTCGAAGACAAGGACACTGTCCAGGTCCTTGTGGTATGCTAAGCAGAGAACAGAGCAAGCACTGGCATATCCATGCTCAGTAGAAACTGAAAAATGAAGGATGGATAGTGAGAGGGTCTTCCTCTGGACTTTGATATGATGGCACTATGATTGTGGCAGCAGTACCAAGGACAGTAGCCAAGAAGGAAACCCTGTGTGTGCAACCATGCTTCCACCAGCCAGGGCTGGTTTCTGCTGTTTGGAGACAACAAGCTTCTTTGTCCCCTGGGGAGGTGGACCAGGAGATGACAGGAAGATTTGCACTTGTGACAACTTCCCCTGCCCTCCTGGCCAAGCCCTCCCTTGTGTCCTTGAGGTCCAGAGGATCTCACTACTGTGAGATGCTTAAAGAGAGAGGTTGTGGGGAGGGCATGCAACTGTTCTTCATGCTTAAGGGTAGCTTTTCCTGTGATTCTCCAGGGCAGAATGCTCCTGGGCCCTGAGATTGGTGTGCTACAAAGACAGACAGGCACGGCATGGTAGACTAGTGGCTAAATCCTTGCCTTGTATCTGCTGGGATCCTATATGGGGTTCGGTTCATAACCTGGCTGCTCCACTCCCTATCTAGTTCCCTGTTTGTGGCCTGGGATGTGGGATACTGGGACAGGAGAGAGGGAAAGGCAGGGACAAGCCACGCCTTACCTTTGGGCCCCACTGCTGCTTTATCTATATGCTGGGCTGTATTTTTATCACAAGCTGTGTGTTTGCCACATGCCCCACCTGGGCTATGTCTTTCCCATCCTCACCCTAATCTGGTAATCCCAACTATTGCTGCCATAAAAGTGTTTTCCTCGGTAATGCTTAGCCTATTGCAGCATTTGATCACTTGGTTGTTATAAAAGAATTATTAAATATAACTGATGGCTGTTCTGTACTATTGTATTGCCTCTATTTCTACCTCTAGAAACGGGCTTCAAGTGCTAGATTTTAACATTCTTAAGTTTGGGCAAGTGCACAGATCTTTTAAAAAAGAAATGTGGCTTACTTGCACAAAATTGGTAGGCTTTGAGATGCTGTTTACTCTCCTGAAATGATCTGTGTGTGTGTGTGTGTGTGTGTGTGTGTGTGTGTGTGTGTGTGGTATAAAACAAATGGTGAGGGGCCCGGTGGTGTGGCCTAGTGGCTGAAGTCCTCGCCTTGAACACGCTGGGATTCCATATGGGCGCCGGTTCCAATCCCAGCAGCTGCCACTTCCCATCCAGCTCTCTGCTTGTGGCCTGGGAAAGCAGTCAAGGACAGCCCAAAGCCTTGGGACTCTGCACCCATGTGGGAGACCTGGAAGAAGTTCCTGGATCCTGGCTTTGGATTGGCATAGCATCGGCCATTGTGCTCACTTGGGGAATGAATCATCGGACGGAAGATCTTCCTCTCTGTCTCTCCTCCTCTCTGTATATCTGACTTTCCAATAAATAAATAAATCTTTTTTTTTTTAAAGATTTATTTTTATTATTTTTTTTTCATTGGAAAGGCGGATATACAGAGAGGAGAGACAGAGAGGAAGATCTTCCGTCCGATGATTCACTCCCCAAGTGAGCGCAACGGGCCGATACTATGCCGATCCGAAGCCAGGAGCCTCTTCCGGGTCTCCCACGCGGGTGCAGGTTCCCAAAGCCTTGGGCCATCCTCGACTGCTTTCCCGGGCCACAGGCAGGGAGCTGGAAGGGAAGCGGGGCTGCCGGGATTAGAACCGGCGCCCATATGGGATCCCGGGCGTGCAAGGCGAGGACCTTAACCGCTTGCGCCACCGCGCCGGGCCCATAAATAAATCTTTTTTAAAAAATGCTGAGAATATAAACTGGGCCTTATTAGCATATTGAAATAAAGCCTACTTAATTTATCAAGACATGTTCATGCCCTAATGTAACCTACTATGGCTATCAATAATCACTGACACTTGAGAAAAAAAAAAAAAAAAACTGAGCTGGGGTTCTGACCAACACCCAGCAAATGCTGAAGTCTGTACTGGGGAAAGCTGCTGCACAGTGGACAGGTGGCAGGAAGCCAGCACTGGAATATGGTGTTCTGGGTCAAGCTGTCTGGCAAGGTTGCTGCCAAACCAACCTATCTTCTTATCCCAGTAGTCACTGCAGCCAGCTGACAGCCTTTCTCAGGACAGGAGACTTCTCGCTCTTTAGTTCATCTGGCCAGGTCAGGTACACTGGCAGGGTCCCAAGGTCAAACCCAGTCTCCTGGACCAGGGCCCCTCATGTCAGCGACCCTGCTCTGCTCTGGAACCAGAAGCTTGGCCCTGGATCCTGCGCCGGCCTCCTGCTCTTGACCGTGTGGGTGGCCCCCCTCCCGCCACCCCACAGGCATCATGTAGGCCCTGCCCTTCCCAGCCTTGGCATGTGCTGCTGGGAAACTCTGGGGGGAGGGGTATCTCTCACTCCCACTGGGGATTCTCAGGAGAACTCCAGCAGTCCAGCAGTAAGAAACTTTCTCAGGTCCAGGCCCCGCCTGGGCTCCACAGGGCTCCTCTCCCTGGGAAGGCTCAGCAACTACCCTGCTGTCAAGGACCCTTTCCCTTCTCCAGCACCATGGGTCTCTCCATCCAATACCAACTCTCCCACTCTGGGTGGGAGTCCTCAGCCCACCCAGACCCATTCTAAATGGAAACACATGTGCCACATGGCGGGCGGACTCAGTCGTGCGCCCAGAGCAACCTGCCTGCTGTGTCTCTCAGCCATGCCCACTTCATAGAAGCAGGCATGAAAAATCAGACAGAACCACACATCTGTCCAGCATCCCACAACTAGGCTGAAGAGCAAGGCTAGTGGGTTCTGTTCACCCCAAACCCTGGTGTCTCTTCCCCTGCTCTGCACCTCCTCAACCATGTCCCTCCACAGCTCTTGGCCCAGAACAGGTCTTTCAGATCTGGACTTGGCTACCCGTGCTGCCTGTAGTGCCGTAAGAGCTGGCAGGTGGCACAGGCTTGGATGAGAATAGCTCATGCTTTCCTCCAACCTTAGCGGCAGCCTGGATCCTCACTGTTCACCTGACCATCGTTGGCCTGGACTGTGTCATAACTCAGCGACAAGTCCTTCTGGCATCAGTGGCGGCATCAGTCATTCCCGGAGAAGCTTAGAACAGATGCATGTAAGTAGAGGGTGTGTGGGGTGGGAGGGACTGCGGAGGGCCAGGGCTTTCATTTGCATGCCCCCACCCCTAGGGCTTAGCAAGGGCCTCAGCATTCTGCTGACACTGCATCTTGGGAAGCTATGGCTCTGAGCAATGCTGGTTTTTGCTGGCGTTTGTCAGATCAGAGCAAACCCGGGGGAGACTCTATTGAGAACCCTGCCCAAGGCCTGAGGAGTCTTCCATACCAGGAAACTCATTTTTAAAAGCCCCCAGAGACGATGTCAAAGGGCCGTTCCAGACCACTTTCCCTGGCTGGGCCCCATATCTCCCTGCGACCCAAGGAAAAGCGACAGCCTGCCAGCCAAGAAGGCGACTTGGAGGGAGGCAGGCTAGCTGATCCCTCAGCTCGCCCACAAGGG